TACATATGTATATATGTATGTTTGAATGCACGTATGTATGTATACATATATATGTATGCATGAACGAACTTATTGCGCATTTCAGCTCTGCCGCTACCAAGCAATATATGTATGTATATATAAATGAAGCAAGCGTGCTTCGCATAACTTCCAGGGTGTCCAGAGTGTTTAAAAAAAATTCGCAATTTCTGAAAAAAAAATCGCCAAAAATCGCCAATTTTTTTAAATAAAATTTATGAAATCGATTTAACAAATCTTTTATTTCAAAAATGAGATCTTGTTATAATATAGTTTTTAAAACAAAAAACGAATATAACACCTTCAGAGGGTAATAATAAATAACACAAATCACTTATATAATAGTGATGTACAAACAATTTCTTTAAAAATACGCAAACTTTTTTAAAATATTTGTTTCAACACATTTTGCAATAGGATTGCGCAATTATTAAATTTATTATAACTTTTATTAATGGATCAATCGCACAATCCCCTTTTAAGAGCTCGGCGCTAAAAATAAAATAAAAACCTATAGTAAGGGTATATCAGCTATTTCCACAATTTGTTGTTGCCATATATTGAGCTATTCAACCTTGATAACATACTGTTTGATATTGGAAACGTTTTGCAGCAGAAACTATTAGCCTACATATAACACTTTATTCGAATTATTGAATTAATGCTTTCCAACCTCATCCTATTTCGAATCTTAGTTTTTGTTTAATTCATTACGGAAAAACGCGCTCAACAAAGCATGTCGTTGCGGCAAGGATAATATTTAATATGAATTTACTTATATTTCCAAACATTTTATTGCCTGTTGCGGTTTTCACTCTTAAGCAATTATCCAAAACTAGTATCGCCCAGTTGTCGAAATTCGACATCTTTTTTCATACACTTTTTAATCTTACCTGTCACCAATACTAACTCCTTTAAGCGAATTACTATTTTGAAGTCCACCAGCATAGTTTATATCGAATTTACAGGAAAACTTACAAACGAACGTTAATACCGGATTGGTTAATGGTAATTCTACCAAGTCTACTCCAAATTTCTTCAGCAGCTTTTGAAATTAGACCGAAAAAGCAAGCTCGATTTTCATGTATAAAAAATATGCATATGTATTTGTATGTAAAGATATATATATTGGTATAATATGTCAAACATATACCAATTCGGACTGTAAATAAGTTTTT